AAAAGAGAGCAGCAATTCCACCATTGACAGCCATTAAAAAGCTTTGAAGCTTTGAATTCAAAGCTTCAAAGCTTTTTAATGGCTGTCAATGGTGGAATTGCTGCTCTCTTTTCCTTTGCTTTGTATTACTGAAATTTGGACATAATTGCATTTGATGTAGAAGAATTGTAGAAGATTTAGTCGTTTTTGATTTGTGAAATCAGAAAAAAGTTTGAAACACAGTGTATCGAAAAAGCAGAGACGCTAAGTTTGAAACGAAACTGACGAAGAAGATTAATGTGCGTGATTTGCGTTGTGGAAGATCTGGAGGAATATTTAATCCCCTAATTTTAACGCGCCTAAATAAGGAAGCCTACAGCTACAATGATTCCTTATTTATTGAATTGTCTATATTTTGTAGAAATACTATTAGCATGAAGGGTAATATGCAAACTATGAACATATTTGATAATATAGTTTCTTATATGGTATAGAAACGAAAATTTCCTATTATAAAATCATGTGATTGCACGTCTAACGAACGGTAGTTAAACAACACTCGAATAGTCCTTTTATATATTTCTTGAATGCAGTAGACATTTTCTTCACCCATTAGAATATTGTTTTGGTTAATAAATATCTATACTTGGTTTTGTTTTCACTATTTCCAAACTTAAACGTGAACCCCATATTTTTTCCCTACTTGTAACACCTTTTGAACAACACAAAGAGGGGGAAATGAGAAGAAAATGGACCTTGAGATTTGAGAACACATGATGTAAAGTTTTAACTATTCCCCTTTGAATAAATATATTTGGAGAAGTTCTCTAAAAACAGAACACAAATGCATCTGTTCTTTAAAAATAAAAATCAAATAGTCTTTCACGAACCAAAAAACAATATTAAAAAAATATATACTTTAAATATCTCAATTTACTCTAAATGAGTTATTAAATCCACACAAATATTAAAGTATGTTTCTTAACAACTTGTTTGGATGGTTGTTACATATCGTTTTATAATGTATCGTATGGTATTGTATTGTACTATACTATGTTGTTTTGATGAATACGGTATTTTGGTTGATTGTTTTGTTTTGCCGTCGTTTTATGGTATCACGCACCAGTAATATGATGAATAACCTTTCAATATTATATAAAAAAAATTATGATACAATATATAAAAAGATAGGGCAAATGATAAAATAAAATTATTTAATATTAATGAAGGGTGAGATTGAGAGAAAAGGACAAGGTAACGACGCGACCACACCAAATCGGTCGTTACATAAAGTGGCACATTTCATCGTTACGTAACAACAGATTTAACGATACGATACAATAAAATTTAAGTAATAATTAAAACAAATATTGTATTTAAAGTAATAATACGATACAATACAATAGGTAACAACCATCTAAACAAGCTGTTAAGGTTACAAATTTTAAAAGTTAATATTTCTCTACATAAGTAAAAAAAAAAGGAAAAGGAAAAAGGAAAAGAAGAAAAACCCAAGTAAAACCGATTAGACCGGTTGAATGCAGTTAGGGCAGCTAAGAAACCGGGAGTATAAATAATCCCCCCAAGTTCGCTCGCTGTAAACGGTCAGGGGGCGTAACAAAGCCGAACAAGACTGCTCTTCCTTCGCCAAAGAACAACTCCTACTATCTTATCCTTATTCTCAGCAACAAAAGGTATTCCAGATCCCATCTCTCAAACCCTAGCTTCCATTTTACACTCTTAACAAATCCAAATTTGTCTTCTTTCTTCTGAAATAGTAGTAATTTCTTCTTTGGATTGTTTGACTTGATTTGTTGTTGTTAATAATAGATGGATCGGTACCAGAAGGTGGAAAAGCCAAGAGTAGAAACACCCATTGATGCAAATGAGATTCGTATCACCAGCCAAGGCCGCATGAGAAGCTATATTACCTACGCTATGACCTTGCTTCAGGTTTAAAAATCTCTTCTTTTTTAAGAAAAAAATATTTATCGTATTAACATTATGCTTGTGATGTTGCTTACCATGCTGCTGTGTTGGGTTCTTTTGTTTTTGTTTTTTCATAATGTGGTTTCATATTAAAAGTCAAATTATTAAGTATTGGAATGAAATGGGTTTTCATTATCTCCGTATAATCTATTTTATGGACTTTCGTATTGCGGTTTTCATAGTGTGGTCTAGAAATGAGCCTGCTTCAGGTGTTTCTTTTGATAAAAATGTTATCTTTCTTAAGTCTTAATCAAATTGTTATGCTAGTTATTTTGCTTATCATGCTTCTATATTTGACCTCTTAATGTTGTTTTTTATTTACTTTTATAATCTGGGTTTCGTATTAAAAGTCAAACTATTAAGTATTGGAGTGAAATGGGTTTCATAATCTGTCTTATAAATTTTCGTAAGTGGGTTCCATTTTGTGGTCTTGAAATGATCCTGTTTCTCTTAATGTTTTTCTTTATAATGCTGGTTTCATTCTAGAAGATAAGTTATTAAGTGTTGGAATGAAATGGGTTTTATAATCTTTTGTTATCTATTATAAATTTTCATAATGTTGGTTTCAGTTACGGTCTTGAAATGAGCCTGCATCTCGGATAAAAATCTTATTATTTGCTATCTATTGTATAATTCTGCTAGTGTTCTAATGTTTTCATGCTTCTATGTTTGCACTCTCGATTTATGTTGTTCTTATAAATATCAAAATGTGGGTGTCATTTATGGTCTTGCATAACCTTGATATGAGCTTGCTTGAGGCGTTTTTCTGATAAAAATCTTGTCTTTTTGCTCTTTATGGTATCTTCAACTAGTGTTCCTAGCTTTCCATGCTTCTGTTTGTGTTCTGTTAATTATCTCTTTTTTTTAGTTTTTATAATACAGCTTTTAAGCCCCCAGGGCGTTGGTCTAGCGGTAAAACTGCAACATGTGATGTGTGGATTAGGCACATGTCACGAGTTCGAACGCTGCCATAGACAAAGACTGGTATTTAAGTGGATAAGCGTTTTGGGGGGGGGGGGGGGAATCATCCACCTAGTTCGCACTGTCCCTCCGAGATTTCTTAGTTATAATAGGAATGCGGCTTTTATTATTTGCTCTTAAAATGAGCATGCTTCCATTTTCGTTGATAAATTTCTTACTTTTTTACTCTTTATTGCGTACTTTGATTAGTGCTCCTAGCTTTCCTTGTTTCTGTAATGTGGGTTTCAGTTTATGGTCTTGAAATGAGCCTGCTGCAGGTTTTTTCTCTAAAAAAATCATATGTTTACTCTATGTTATATCCTTCTGTTCTAGCTTTCCAGCTTCTTTTGGTGTTAGGTTAGCAGCAATCAATTTACATGGTTGATAGGTTAGTTTGTATAGCTTTGGTTGTCCATTTGTTGATGTCTCTAGCTTCTGAGTTACTTCTGAGTTATCTAGTTATCCTAAGGTCCAGTATGTCAGTTTCTCGAAACAATGCTTACCCATCAAAAAAAAAAAAAAGAAACAATGCTTCCGCCCATCAATTTCAAAAAGGAAAAAATTAACACTACCAGCCATCCCCAGAAAGAAGGAAAATGAAGAGAAAGAAGCACTTTTAAATCTGGAGCAGTGTTAGTTTGGTGAAAACTACATTACCAAGGGACTGCTAGATTTTGGTTAGTGAGGTTTTATTTCCACACTAAGAACTTTATGTTAGATTTTGGTGGGTGAGGTTATTGTCCCATACTTGGTACTTTGGCCTATGGGTATGGGAAGCTAAAAACTGGACTGCAACAGAAAACCGACTCTAACTGACTTAAAAAACTGACATGTTCTTTACTTTGATACGGTTTGGAGTTTGGACTTCGATGTTAGCATTAGAAGAATCTATCCCCCTCCTCATGAATATAGCCTATTAAATTTTAGGTCTCTACCAGAGTTTTACCTTTTAAAGGAAACTTCATTAAGATGCCTCATACTCTTAAGGTAAACTAAATTCAGAATGTCTAATATGTTCTCGACAATAATTTGCTTTTCACTAATGCTAGCATTTTGTGTTTCTTCTTCTTCTTTTAACAAGTTTATTCAGTTTTAAATCTTGCTCGATCTCCAATACTGCCTAGAATCTTTACAAAATAGATGCAAGAGCGCACATTCTTCGCAGACAAGTTAACCAAAGTCCAAAAAGTACTTAGCAGTGATAAAAAAGGCAATAATGAAAAACAAAAACAGAATAAACGAAACCATTAGAACTTGTCAATATTTTGTTTCATTTGGTTGATGCAGTTAGCAAACCGACTTAATGCATGTTTGATTTTTTTCAAAGAAAAAAACTGACTCATTTGAGCCATGAATATCCCTACTTTGACCTTTCATTTCTAGATGGATTACCAGGGAAGATATTGCCTTATTGCTGATTCCTTTTCTTTCCCCTTTTGCTTTTGGAAAAGGGGCATGGGAATTAGCATCAACCTTAAAAAGGTTAAAAGCTAATTAGCTTTCTGCACCTTGCATATTGCTGCATAATTTGCATGAGATTTTTTAATATCTCTATTGATAATGTGATTCATGCGTACTGCTCTTTTATGATACTTGATGTTCTTACTTGCGATGCTAAATCTGCAGGAAAACACATCAGATGAGATTGTGTTCAAGGCCATGGGCAGGGCAATCAACAAGACTGTGACAATTGTGGAATTGATTAAGGTAGACAATACTTACTTTTTCCTTTGTAGTTTGATGGTTGCATATTAGATCTCTAATTGACTTCTGGATTCGATCGCATGGTTCCAATGCAGAGGAGAATTGTTGGTCTTCACCAAATTACTTCAATTACATCCACAGACATTACTGATACATGGGAACCCCTTGAGGAAGGCCTCCTGCCGTAAGAGGATCTTACTGAAACTATGCATTGGAGCTTTTGTCTTATTCTCTACTGCCTTAACCATTCCCTCATTTAACAATTATATCCGTACATTTTTTTTGTGCTGCAGTCTTGAAACAACCAGGCATGTCTCAATGATTACAATTACTCTTTCTAAAAAGGAGCTGGATAAGAATAACATTGGGTGAGCTTCTTAATTTTTCAATTATTCCCGGACTTTGCATCTTCGACTCCTGTTCCATTTTCCTGGCAAAGAAGCAGTATTTCTGAAGAACTTAAGCACGTTCATATAGAAATTATCTGCCTACTTTCTAGTTATCTTCAGTTTTACCTGCTATGTCAAATTTTCTGTTCTGAATTGCCCAGTTCTTGAGTATTTCCTGAGCCATAAATATCTCTTTCTTTATTTGGAAATCTGCTCATTGTTATAAGCATAAAAAGGTGTTGTGAAACTTTTTACATTTAGACCAATTGCTAATTAGCTTACAAAATTTGTGTGTCATACTATGCTCTGTGCTGGCAGGTACCAACCTCCAATTCCAGCTGACCAGGTGAAGGTGTCCACAGAGATTGACTATGAAGGAGGTTTGTTGTATTGTACAAATGAATAAGAATTTGGTTACACGTGAAACAAAATGGAATTTATTTGGTAATATATGATCTTTAGATGGGTCACCCAATGGTCGAGGAAGAGGTCGTGGTGGTAGAGGAAGGGGAAGGTCTAGAGGTTATTCAGGTACAAATGTTCGTTCAGCTTTATTGTTGTAAAAACTCTGCTGATATGTAAATTTACACTCACATGTCAGGGCAACTTCTCTGCGAACACCACATGTTTGATTCTATTGGGGCATTGGTTGTTCACTGGTTTTGCAAGTCTTTCTTTTGGGATATATGGAATTGAGTGTATGCATGTTTCTTAATCAGTAATGTGTATATGCTCTCTTTGCGTGCAACTGATATCAGTTGAGGCTGAAATTAACTTAAGTATTAATAGACATGCTTCTTTTACGTAAAACTATATATTGAGGAATTAGGCATATATGGCTTGTGATAAAAGGATTCATCTATAAGGGAATAAATCAATTATGCAAAGGTTTCAGGGGGGAGAATGAGGAACCAAGTCACTAGCTGCATGCCATTAGTGCAATTCTTACGGTGAAATTAAATTAGTTTACTTGATTCTTTTTTTGATATGGTAACTTTTAAAAAGTGGCACCAAGTAGGTAAGCTATTTGGTTTGGTGGGTGATCGATCTGGAAGCAGAAAAACCAAAGGATTTTTGAAGGAAGAAAGGGATGCTTGTAGAAGATCAAATGCAGATTGTATCTTTACGTTAGTGCTGGTGTAAGATGTCAAATGTATATTATGATTTTGACAGAATTCCTCAATTCCTTATTTTTTTTTGCTTATTGATAAGTTTACTTATCAAAGAAAGGACAAAGGAAAAAGAATGAGGAACCAAGCCACCCATCAAAAAAAAAAAAAATGAGGAACCAAGTTAACTAAGAATTATGTTAGAGAGGCCCTTTTTTTTGGGGGGGGGGGGGGGAGTGATAGAAGTATTTTAATTTTGTTCAAGTGTCTTAACTAGCTTTCAATTTTCTTGAAGTTGATCTCGAGTATTTTTATGAAATGATGTGGTATGTACTAAATAAATGCTGCCAAATTCTCAAGTCGTAAGGTTGGAGCAATTATGCAAAGAAATAATGTTAGTTCATAAATGGCTTGTAGGGGAAACCATGCTGTGTCTATTGTAATAGCTTTTTTCATAGTTCAAAAATGTCTACAAATCCTTGAGCCGGGGGTATGTTGGAAACAGCCTCTTTACCTTCTAAGGTAAGGGAAAGGTCTGCGTGCACACTACCCTCCCCAAACCCCATTTGTGGGATTATACTGGGCTTCTTGTTGTTGCTGTTGTTGTAGATATGTTTATATTGATTCAAAATGTGATGTATTTTTTTGTGCTATCCTAATAACTGATTCAAAGTGGGTGATGATTGATGTGGAGTACTCTGTCCCCTCTCTATGTTCAAATATGTTATACATAAATGTGAACTGAGGATGGTTATTCATGACATTCTGGCTGCATCTTTTTCAGGGAATGGCCTTATGCCTGCTGAGTATGATGATGGAGGGTATGATCGGAATCGGGGCTATGGCAGGGGCAGGGGTCGAGGCAGGGGTCGGAACTTCCGTGGGCGTGGAAGGGGAGGGTACGCTGGTGCTCTGGACACTCAGCAAGATGCTGGTGGCTACATCCAAGAAGCACCTGTTCAGGGCCGAGGTAAGGTGTCGATGCCTTTGCATAGTGTTATGTTCGTCTGAGTAATTCAAATAACTCCTCTAAGACATTTCTAATGCTGGTTCACTTTTTCCTTTTTAAAATTTTACAACCTTTGTGTTCATGTGTACAAATTTCCCTGGCTTGTTTGGTTTTGCCCTCTAATGGAGTTGTGTCAAGTGCAATAAGCTTCCAGTTATAGAGAGTGTTGCTCAGAGCATAGAATGGTATAGAATGGACAGAAGAGATGATAATTATATTTTAAACCCACCCACCCCCTCCGCACAGGGTTAACAGTGATTTCCCACTTTCTCTTCTTGGTTACTCGGACGATGAATCTTAGTGGTTGGAGAGGTAGAGGAGCTTTACCACTAGCGTAACTGTCCCTCGTGCATGATGAGTTTTGAAATTCAGTATTACTTGAGTAGTGTAAGAAATTGTGAGTAGACATAAGAAAATGCTACTCTAACAAGTGGAAGGTGAACTAGTAGTTATTGCTGTAATTTATTGATCGCATACTTCCTCTTCCTAAGGGTTTATTTTGCTGTAGGCCGTGGACGCGGCAGGGGACCTCGAGGCAGGGGACGTGGATTCAGACCTAATGGGCCACCAATCCATGTTGCTGCGTAGATGGTCAAACTTGGAAGCAACACAGAGATTATGTTCTATGAGTGCCTGCTCCGTTTTCAACGTTTTTCTTTCATTTGTTCGTATTAACTTTAGGTTATTTTGATAATGTAATCAGTGTAGACTAGTATTAGAACTTATTACCACCCACCTTGTGGTGAGCATTTTTGTTTTCCTTCAGATCCTTCTTTTTCTTTCAAGTAGGCTAGGTGCTTTGATCAAGTGTAATTTCAATAGCGAGCAGCACATTCTTTTATGTGTTTGTCCAGGTATTCAGTGTTGACTTCATTCCCAAGTACTGCCAATAATACCCTGTTTACTGTATCTGCTTCTATACAGCCATCAGCTTTTATTATCTTCTCATTTCTTACATGGCAATTGAGAATGTCCCATCAATGCAAAAAGTGATTAGAATATAGTTGTGTTTGGAGTGATATATTTCTAAACAAATATTATCTCAGACAACCTTTTACTTTGCAAAATTATCTACCAGCGTTTCGCGTTGTTAATTTCAGTTACATCATATAACATTATAAAATTATTCCTAAGCAACCTGCATGATATCAATATTTTTTTTTCTGCAAAACTAATATAAACACAGTAACAAGAAGTACAATGTATTTGTAAATTTTAATAAGTAGGATATGATAAAAGGGAGCTATAGAAAAAGTTTGAACATGATAATGAGAGAAAAAGTAACCTATAAAGAAGAGTCAAAATGATACAAATTTTCAAAAGGTTGTTTAGGTTATTTAAAACGACAAAAATAACCCATCTATCTTTTGAGATAGTATTGTTTTGCTTTCAAAAAACAATTTTTTTTTCCTTTTGTAACCAAAAGAAGTGACTTTTAATTTTAGAAAACTATTTTAATCTAGGAGAACATGGCTCGTTACTTAGGATCCAAGAACCTCAGAAGATTATTTCATGGTGTCGAAATTATAATATTATTACATCAAGACACTTGTCAATGGCGGCTGACATCAAGATTTACTAGGAGGTCCAATCGCTGAAGTATGTGCCTATGTCATTCATCTTCTTGGGACCATTTTCATGATTGCCTAAAGCTTATAGCCTTAAATATTTTAAGATCAGCTTTCCCTTTCCTTTAATGAAGGAGACAAATTCCTAGTTGGGAAGAATCAAAAACATAGAGTGGAAGAAGAGCTTCAGTTTAAAAAAATGGAGACAGAAGAAAACATTGTAATTGTGGGTGCTGGCATAGCTGGTCTTGCTACTTGTTTGGCACTTCACAGGTAAGAATATACTCTACCAAAACTTACCAATATATATTACTGCATAAGTATGTTGAGTTTTGGGAGCTGTACTTGTTTGACGACCACAGATCTAGCATTTAAGCTACGACTTATGTAATAGGGGCTTGGACAAATTTTAAATTATGTGTATATATTGATAGGTGTATTCACTACCTTCAAAAACTTGATCCGTCTGTAGCAAAATGTATCATGTATAATACTGCATATGTTTGTTGAGTTGAGAGCTCTTTAGTTAGTGTGTATATATAGTGGCGGAGAAACCTGATAAGAATGGACCTTGAGCCTAACTCAACCCCAAAAGCTAGCTCAAAGGGTGAGGATTGCCCGAGTCATATAAAGAGTCCAAGGAACCCATCCATCTCTGATGTGGGATTCCATCACCCGCACACGCCCAGGACCTGCCAATTGGAGCGTGAACAATCTATCCTGGGGGCCCAACATTGAGGGCCTGGCTGTGATACCATAATAAGAATGAACCTTGGACCTAATTCAACCCAAAAGCTAGCTCAAAGGGTGAGGATAGCCATATAAAGAGTTCAAGGAACCCATACATCTCCAATGTGTGGGATTCAATCAGAACTCTTTGGTACGCAAAAACATTTTCCTACATATGCCATTTGTGTCTATACAAAGGTGTTTGATGAATTGCATAAACGCGTTGTTTTATAGGGTGGGGCTGCGGAGCATTGTCTTGGAATCATCAGATTCGTTGCGAGCTACTGGATTTGCACTGTCATTGTGGACTAACGCCTGGAGAGCTTTGGATGCTCTGGGCGTTGGAGACTCTCTTAGACAAAGTTCCTTATCCATTACTGGGTAAGCGTTTCCCTTTATAATTCAATCTTATGAGATATCTGATTGAAATTCAACATAATCCGATAGCATAAGGATGGTTTCTAAATTGGTTTTTGGAAAAATTAATTTAGGGTGGTCTGAGAAAAAACAATTATTCCCAATTGGAGTTAGTCTTGGAAGAACTAGATTGAGAAAGTGTTGTTTTTCGATTTCAGTCAAAACCTTTTGGAAAAATATCACTGAAATCCTTACTTTATAGCGATTTCATATGGTTAAAATTAGCAGGAAAATCAACTAAACACCTTTATTTAATACAGCAATAAATTATTTCCGGATAGCCCAACAGCAAAAGAAATTGTCTTCAAACAGCTGATAAAGAGAAAAGTAATTGTTTAGATCCAGGTACAATCACATAAGCACTCTCCTCAATTAGTAAAAGCCCGCCCTCGTAAGCTGTATTCACACAACTAAATACACTATTCTTTGATTGTCTAAATTGCAAGGGATTTCTTGTGTTTTACTCTTTATCAAGTTTCAACCATTGCTGCAGGATTAAAAGTTTCTCTGCGGATTCAGGAGCACCTATCAAGGAGGTATTGTTTGTGGACAATAACTGGTAAATATTCTATGCTTAACTGAAAGATTTCGTAGACCCCAACTTGTGGGATTCCATTGGGTCTGTTGTTGTTGTTAACTGAAAGATTTATTTGTATAGTTGTTCAATCAATTAATCAACTATCCATCAATCTCATATTAGTTGGGGCCGGTTATATTAATCCTTTTATGCATCACCTTTATCTAGGTTTTAAGGCAAATTAGGAATCCTCTAAAATAGTATCACGATCTAGCTACATAGACAAACAAATCTCTAACTATGATAAAAAGTTCACTCACAAACACCGAACTAGTGCAAGTATAACAAGAAAAACTAATGTATTTAATCTCCACATACTATCATATAAGCCTTGACGATCTCACGGCATCTTTGGACAGAACAATCACATCTGTCACAAAGGTCTTAAGTATGAATAGGATGCATCGCGTATTCAGGGGATGCTGCAGATCAATTGTCTGATTGTTCTTAGGAGAAATGATTTGGTTCATTGTCCTAATTCTTATGATTACGATAAAGAAAGTTCATCTTGAACAATGTTTCTCTTGGTTAACACCGTGTTTCTTAGATCAATTGTTGAGTTGAGTGTGCCTTCCTTCAACTACTGGATGGACTGATTCCTCAGCCAAAATTTCTGTTTTTGAAGTCAGTAGAAAGTCATCTAACGCGAGTTATATCATGTTTCAGTATAGATTATGAAAGTCGTTGTGTGAGAAGGAAATATCTGTTGGAGAAATTAGAGAATGAACTGCCTCAAGGCGCTATTAGATATTCTTCTAAGGTTGTTTCCATTGAAGAATCTGGACCGATGAAAGTGGTACATCTTGCAGATGGTTCCACTATTAGAACTAAGGTAAATCTTTCTGTGAAATCTTTCGCTTATGGTCCAAGTTGCTTTTTCTTCCTCCTCCACCTCCCAACCTTGGAATTCCTATTACTTATTGAAGCTTCGAATATATAATTCCTTATTGTAGTCTGATATGAATAACTATGACAATCTTCAATTAAGGCCTTAATTGGGTGTGATGGAGTCAATTCTGTGGTGGCAAACTGGCTTGGGCTTCAGAAGCCTGTCAATTCTGGGCGGTCTGCAATTAGAGGCTTTGTTGAATATCCCGACAAACATGGTTATCAGCCTAAGTTCCATGCATTTTTTGGAGGTGGACTTCGATTTGGCTTTCTTCCTAATGATGAGAAGAGTTTGTATTGGTTTTGTACATTCACACCATCTGCTGTCCATTGTAAGCAAAGCTCACACATACTGTTATTTTGAAACGGATTATTCTAATTTGGTGATGTTAAGAACTTGTGTTTCTCATTACAGAATATCAATCTAAACATGTTCAATTGTTCCTTTTTAATTGGATTGCAGTTGATGGAAATGCAGAACAAGATCCACTTAAACTGAAGCAATTTGTGTTGAACAAGGCCAGTAATGTGTCTAAAGAACTCTCCACCATTGTAGAGAGAACAACGCTAGACTGTATATCTTGCGCTCAGCTGAAATTGAGATTGCCTTGGAATGTTTTGACGGGGAATATTTTGAAGAATAACGTTTGCGTGGTAGGTGATGCACTTCATCCCATGACTCCAGACCTTGGTCAAGGTGGATGTTCTGCGTTAGAAGACAGTGTTGTTATTGCAAAATGCCTCGGAGAAGCTTTGGTGAAACCGATAAAGGATAGAGGAGTTGAACAAGAAGATGAGGACGAATTTAATAAGATCAAAAAAGGACTTGAGAAGTATGCTAAAGGGAGGAGATGGAGAAGTTTTACATTCATCAGTGCTGCTTATTTATCTGGTTTTATACAAGAGAGTGGTAGCAAAGTAATCAGTTTCTTAAGGGAACGTTTTTTGGCTGGAGTCACTATAGCAGTTACACTCAGAATGGCTAACTACGATTGCGGAAAACTCACTGTTTCTTGAAGTGTATGTCCATACATCTCAAACTGTTGAACTGAAGAAAGAAACAGGCCCCAAAATTGGTGAAATTCCATTATGATATACTACTACTCTTCTTGTACAACTTAGTCAACAGGATAGTTTGTGGTAGGTTCTATTGAAACTCCCTGGTTAATAAACAAACATGATAATTGCTTGGCTCTCCAGTACATATGTATGAAGGATATTGTGGATCTTTTGATGTTGTAATCCATTCTTCTGACTGAAATTATGTAAATGAAGATGAACTAATGCCTAAATTAAGAGTTGATTGGTTAGTCTTCACCAAAAAAAAGAATAGCATAGCCTTGAATTAACTCGAACTGAATGGTAAATATGCTGCTCCTGTCTTTCATTTGAATACATGGTCAATTAGGCAATAAAGTGGAAACCAAACACAACACTTAACTACAGAGTTAGCCCATTGAATAGACGCGCTGTGCCATTTCTCTTGTTGTGTATTTGCCCAAGATCATAGCTCTTCATGTTAGTTTTTTTTTATTTATTTATTTTTTTTATATCTAGTTTATCTGCACATGCATTGCAAGTGTATCTCCAAAGTTTGAATAACCTTGATACCGGTGGGAATTGAACCAATGACCTTACAACAGTTTCGAACTCCCATGGCCACTAAGCTATGCTTTTGGCTTATGTCAAGGGGATTCAAAACATGATATATGGAGGTAAATAACAAATTTTGTCTTATACATATAATGTAATTTTTCGATGAAGGGGGTTCGGGTGAACCACCTTCCGCCCCCCCTAAATCCGCCTCTGCTTTTGAATAACAAAATAAAAATTAAAGAATAAAAGCGTTGGGCTCGAAATGATTAATAGCAACCGAACTTGCAAAGATGAACCAAAATATTTAGTGAGTCTTTATGTTATTTTTGATTAAGGTTCAAATAGACAATTTAGTATATGCCCACCCAAAGATAATTCTAGAAAGAGAAAACAAATTTGTGAAACTCTTTTAGCTCAAGAAACTGTATATTATATTGTGGGATTAGTTTAACATATTTTTTTGGCTTAAAAGCTACGTATTTTTGTTTGACCACTGAATTACCTTATTATCCCTTATATATTTATATAGTCCCAAAAATACCCTTCCCTTTATAAATGTAACTAACCCCATTTTCAAAGTACGTTGCTTTTCTTCCACTTCCGCCATTGCTTCTTCCATCTTTGTATGCATATGTTGTCTACAATATTGACGTATCAATGTTGCAAGGGACAAATAACACAATTTTTATTTACATAATTATGAAAGTACAAGAAGGGGTGAACTGTAACCGATTTAAAATCTTAGTTGACTAAATATGAGTTTAGTCAACTAGACTTTGTGCAGTGCCTGATTTATGTAGAGATAAACTAAATAAGCAAAAGGATAAAGAAGACACATAAGTTTTTATACTGGTTCAGTACCGGTGTGGTACCTACATCCACAAAGGCGGATCCAGAATTTTAAGCTTATGGGTTCCTATAACAATCTCAAGTTAATCAACCTGAAAACTGGACCAACGAACTGGGTTCCAGCTAAATATTCTTATACTTTTAATGAATTTTTTAGTACAAATATAAGGTCTATGCAAAAATTACTGGGTTCACGGGAACCCGTAACTTTTGCTCTAGAATCGCCCCTGTACATCCAGTTCCCTTGGGTCACAAGGTTCTCTTAGATCTTTGATAAATGTTTATAGCAGTGATGGTTTTAGTTCGTTCACCACCAACGTTATACAGCAACAATAATTCTTTTCAATGTTGACACAACTCTCTTTTTATTTTCTAACTCTTCCTATCTTTTGTGACACTTGTAGACTCAAGAATACAGTGTTTGTACTAAGAACTAGAAAGGCTTAGAAACAGATGATGTAGTTGCGTAATTGTCTTCTTGAGTTTGCCAGTCTTCTTATAGGAGAGATTTGAGTAGCCATTGCAGATTGATCTTTGATTGAGGGAATGCTCTAAGAGATTTAACCCAAGGGGTGCATCCGAATCCCGCACAAGAGATGGGCTGGATTTATTTACGTCCTTCCGTTTCATATCCATAATCAAGGGAGTGATTTGTGGCCTGATTTGATTGACCAATCTTCAGTATCTCCAGATTCTAAATCATACCTTGAAGTAGGGCCTAATTTCCTTTAGCGGTTGCACTTGATATGTTTCCTTCTTAATAGCCTCGACGTCCTTTGATTTAGCCTTGTACTGTCTTCCTTTAACGTTTGGACTTGATTTTGTTTGCTTTTTGATGGCTTTGACTTCCTTTGATTTAGCAGCGTTCGTGTTGCCTTTGATCTCGTTTCCTTTCTGGTGTTCTTATCAAAAGGACTTCCATTGAAGTAGTGCTGCGTCCTGATTTTCTGCAATTAAATAAATATAGTTAGATTAAACTTAGGTGTAACAATCTCCCCCTTTTTGATGATGACAATCAAAAAGAGTAAACAGAGTATACTTCCCATTCATCACTTAAGATGCTTTCTCCCCCTGATTGTTGCTTTAGTTTACTCATCACTGCTCCCCCCTCGAGTTGTTGCTCTGGTTTACTCAATCATGTTTTCCCCCTTTGACATCAATCAAAAAGAAGAAAAACAAATGCGGACAGAACAAACAGAATAATGTAGATAATAACCAAAGTAGTTAGGGTAGCAGAGGTTATGCCTTCAACAAAGGCACATAGTGATGTTTCTTACAGACCAACGCAAAAGTAGTTCACAAAATAAAAATAAGCAACAACAAAAAAATGTTTTAAACACACACACACACTGCCTTAGTTCCTCCCTAGAAAGTACTTCAGGGTATTGATCACTTTGGTGCGGAAAGAGTCATATGAGGTTTTAACTTCTTTGGTTATTTTGTCCATCTTTTCTGTCATGGAGTTGAATGCCCTGATCCCTTGCCTCCTCGTGGATCCCATGTCCATCCTGAGCTTAGCCACATCTATACCTGTTTCTTTGGTGACTTTCCTGATCTTGTCCACCTGTTCTTTCATTGCAATGAGCAGGATTTTTATCCCATCTAGACTTTGCTGAATTTGCTGTAGGTGTTAGTGGCAGTCGACTGAGGCTCTGTTGGTTCAGTAGGCGCTTCGACCTGCACTGGAGCACTTTCAACCTTGGCACGCTTGACCCATCCATAGTCACTTAAGGTGTAACCCATCATAGCAAAGGATGTCTTATCATAGGTACTAGTAATGTGCTTTGGCGAGAAAGGTGCAAGTCAACCTTCATGACTTCAAGAATATGTCAGATGAGCAAACCATAAGGTAAACAAGCAGCAGAAGCGGATATATCCCTGATACTTTTAAGCATATACTGGTGAATCCACACAAACCAGTCAAGCCTTTTATTGTTCACAAGACAGTAAAGAACAAAGATATCTCTAGTAGTCAAAGTGCTGAGAGACCCAATTCTAGGAAGTAAAGAGGTAGCTATCATATGGGCTAAAACGTGGTGTTCAAACTTGAGATTTGTTGGACCAATTTCAGGAGGGTTTTCAGACAGAAAAGCTTTTGCCTCTTCTAAGAAAACTTCAAAGTCTTTAGGCCAGGAATTTTGCATAAAAACATTATAACCATGAAACTTAGCAGAAAATATCTTCTCAAATTGATAGGAATCAAGAACAATCCGAGTGCCTAAAACTATTCTCCAAGTCATCTTTGTCATTAACAAACAGATTTGCATAAAACATCCTCACAGGCTCTTCATACACAGAATTTCCAATAGTATCAAATAGAGGAGAAAGACGTTGAAAGTCAAAAACAGCAATCACATCGCAATGCAAATTTTTCATAAGAGAGAGACTTACAAAGCGTCCATAAGCCATAAATTTAGACTTATAAGACACAAACATTGATTTCTCACTTGGTCCATGGAAGTTCAGTTTGTCCTCTGGCCCAAAATCTGTGCTTTCTACTTTCCCTTTCTTGCATGTAGGGTTTTTGGGGGTTTGCTCCGTAGGCCTTTTTCCTGCCTTTTTCTGGCTAATAGGAAGACCCTCCGATGATTCACTGCTTTCATTATCGGTTTTGAGGAAGTCTGAATAGAGGGATGATTCAAGGTCGACAATTTCTTCAAGGTTGTGGGTTTTCTGAAATCGTCTGCTTCATCTTGTGGCAGTGGAAGATGAGAGGTTTCTCTTTGCCATGGTAGAGGAATTTTGTGAGAAGTGATGAATATTGAGAAAGGAATGGGTACTTATTTATGCTTTTGGAAGGTTGAACGGTTGCATCGGTTAAAGGAAAGGGCAGGTTCATAAGGAACACTTCTGAGGAGTTGCTTCAGCGGCACAAATGAAAGTGTAATAATGACACTCACATCAAATTAATACACTCATCAATTAAGCAAACTAAGAAAGGAAGTAAGGTTTTTTACATAATAGATATAATACCAATCTTTTTACGCAGTAGACAAAATCTTTCTTCCAAAAGAGGTTTTGTAAAAATATCAGCAAGTTGAGACTCAATACTAATGAATTCTAACACGGTATCACCTTTTGCAACATGATTACCGATAAAATGATGCTTAATTTCTATATGTTTGCCCTAGAGTGATGCAAATTTTTTTTTGACAAACATATAGCACTTGTATTATCACAGAATATAGGAGTAGAGGTAAGGGATAAATCATAATCGAGAAGTTGATGCATGATCCAAAGAACTTGTGTACAACAACTTCTAACAGCTAAATATTCTGCTTCAGTAGTTGGCAAGGCAACACAATTTTGTTTCTTGCTATGCCAGGAAATTAGAGCATTTCCCAACAATTGGCATGTGCCACTAGTACTTTCCTTGTCAATCCTATCACCCGCAAAATCTGCATCTGAAAAGTCTTTTAAAACAAAATTGTTTGAATGAGCATACCATAATCCTAATTCAGCGGTCCCAATGAGATATCTAATAATGCGTTTAACTGTAGTAATATGGGATTCTTTGGGAACCGACTGAAACCTTGCACACTTACAAACACTGAACATTATATCTGGTCGACTAGAAGTGAGATATAATAAAGATCCAATCATTCCTCTATACATTGTTTCAGCCATATTTTTTCCATTCATGTCTTCTTCAAGCATAGTTGTTGGACTCATTGGAGTTCCAATGGACTTTGCATTCTCCATACCAAACTTCTTTATAATTTCCTTGGTGTACTTGGTTTGGCTAATAAAAATCCCTTTGGGAGATTGTTTGATTTGCAATCCAAGAAAGAATGTTAGCTCTCCCATCATGCTCATTCGAGTTCTCCTTTCATAATATGAGAAAATTCTTCACATAACACAGAGT